TAAGAAAAAATAAGGGAAAGTAAGAGAAAATAAAAGAAAATGAGATTGAAAACACTTCAATCACCAATTTAAGCTCATGGATCACCCAATTAACCCCACATAAAAAATTTTAAAATCTCATTAGAATATAAGCAATGATTGAATTATGAAAATTAAACTTGTTTGGATGATGAGAAAATTAGTGAGAACGTGATGGAAAATGAAAGACAATGAAGGAAAACAAAAGAATTATCAAAACAAGCTATAGGGTAGAGCTAGAACCCTCTATACAAGTCCAAATCTAATCTAAATTACCAAAGAAAATAAGAATATTGAGTGTTTGGAAGGTGAGAAAATGAGAGAGAAAATGTAGGGAAATTTATAATTCAAGTGGGAAAACTAAAATTCAAGTAATCCAATCAATCCTATGGAGGGGTGGCTAATCCCTTCCACTATCCACAAGGCCCAATCACATATTAAACAATTAAATTCAGAATTTCAGAGTGTTTGGCAAGAGAGAAAATAGAAGAGAAAGTGCAAAGAAAGTTGAAGAACTCACTTCAAGTGATGAAGAAAGCCTCCTTGATTAGCAAACCTTTTTCTAAGAACCATTAAGCTTCTAGGTTTAGACTTCAATTCCCAATAGAAAGTAACTTCAAGCTTCTATCTCCAATGGTGTATCTATAGGTGTAAGTATAGAAAGAGAAAATTTGAAGGTCCCAATAGGTTTTGAGCCAAAGAGAAGTGTCTCTATGCCTTGGTAAACCCTCTCTCCTTCTCAACAAGTGAAAGAGTGGTGAATTTATAGGTTGAAGGTTGCTTGGTCTGTAATTTGCACAAACATTGCAGATGTGGAAACCTCACATGCATAAGGGGACCATCTCACAAAAATTGCTCTATTTCTCAACAAATTTGTCTAGCTAGTTGTAGACACCCCATTTTGACCAGCCTTAAGACTTGGGCGCTCTTTTCCGAACACATGATGATGAAGGTTGGAATGTGTAATCTTACTAATTCCTCAGCAGGAGAGCCAAGTTCAAACTTTAATCCCAACGTTGCACTCATTTGGCCAAAATATTTTCTACCCTCGTAAACCCCTTTTCAAACATTTCTACAAAGTTCCGAGGCTTGCATTTTCAAAATTCAAGTGTTAAATTTTTAAAAGTAAATTGAGCAAGGACAAAGTGGAAATGAGTGGAAGGAATAAGAATTGTTTGGAAAAAAAAAAAACCCTGTTTTTTCCTTTAAAAAAATTGTCTAACCAAACGATTTTTTGTCTAGCCAAACAATTTTTTGTCTAGCCAGATGATTTGTCCTGAAAATAGAGCAGTTTCGAGAAATTCGGCATATTCTCCGAATTTCATACAAATATCTTAGATATTTTGCCTTTGGGTTTCCTCAGCAAATTTCTCAGATATTTTGTTTCCGTCAAAACTCTCTAAATACAGCTCTATACTTCATTCTAAAGAGTTGAAAAATCATTTTCTAGGCTTAGACCTTGAACTCAAAGGCTTACAACTTCTTCACATCTCCCTTTATACACCCACCACCTAAGCACCATTAATCCTTGACTTGGAGCTCCTTGGCAAGGATTCTTAGACTTAATCAAGAACTTTGAGGGTACTAGAAAACAGTTTTTGAACAAGAAAGTTCATCCTCTCTTCAAGAGGTGAACTTTTGCAAAATTTTGTCACTTTTTCTCTTTCTTTCTTCATTGTTAGCTTGTTGTAATCATTTGATGGGTCCTCATGAATGTGGAGGGAACCAGGACGTTAGCCACCCATCCATTAAGTGGATTGTTCTCTTCACTTTCTTACACTTTTGCACACTTTTTTTCTTTCTTTCTTTCTTGTGCTATGATTCACAGTTGTTATATATAGATGCGATACTTGGAACCTTGTGGATGTGATTGGGGGTAGAAAGTAACCATCCATTCACAAGTTTGATATGTAGAGTAGAATTCCTTCTTGTTACACATCTTCTTCTCACAAATCTCATCATTTAAGTATGTTAATCCATGTGTTTCAACCTATGGTCAATATTAGTGAGTAATAGTAGTTGTTTTATAAGATTACTCGGATGATTCTTGGGATTTGATACTGAGAGGGTTGTGGTTTTCCATTTTATTGATTGTTTTTGGAAGCAAAACAAGAGATTCTATGTCAAGAGTGTTAAAATCTCTTTTCTCAATCACTCGTAAACATGGAAAGGGTGGAAACATCCTTGTTCCATGAATAGAAGAAGAGTTCTCAATAGTTTTTTTATGAATCCGTTGCTTTAAAATCAAAACTTCCACTAAGAAATGATGCGCATTAATTTACTCTCTCAAATTAATAGCATGGATCTGGGTATTAACCTGTTCTTATTCACAAAGAGTTGATGTAAGTTCCCATCTATTTCTTAGGTTTGAATTTGATTTTCCTTCAATCCATTTAATTTGATGAATTGTTACAAAATATCTGTTGTACATGTCTGTTCTATCTTATTGTTGAGAGTTAAGGCATGTCTACCTCTTCCCTAAGTGGTTTCTGCAAATGGGAGAGGTAGAAGGGATAAACACTCTTTGGAAGATGTGCTTGGCTTCTGTTCTGGACTTCTCTATACCAAATTAATTTTCCCCAGAGGAAGTATTTGGCCGGTCACATTTATAGTTGGCCGAATCATATTATGTCTAGTCAGATGGTTTTTTCCAGAACATGATAGATAGTTTCTAGGGAGTGCTCTCCCGGGTGTTTCTAGAGCTACTGATCAACTTTATTTATTTATTTAATATGATTTGTTAGATTCAGCAGTAATTTGGATGAATCTATTCATACTTGTATTAATTTCTCCAACCCACGTATCTTCTTTTTATTATCTATTCATTTTTGAAATAATTTCTTCCCCATCTTCTCATTTGAATTGTTGTAATAATCTTCCAATCCCATGCCTTTCTATTCCTTTTATTTACGTGCTTTCTGTATATATAGTATCCATGATTTGTATCCATTTTTCATGCATATGGGTTCGGCTCATTTGCATCAATGGGATTTATCATTTCTAACATGGTTTTGTGCGCTACCCTATGCCTTGAAACGATTCACATGCCATTTGGTAATAGTTGAATCTTTAGTTTCATTTTTTTGTATGTATTGCATTAGATATTTGCGTATACGATCATGCATATGTTTATAGCATATTACTTTTGTGGCTTACCACAGAGGAGTATTAGGTGAGCATTTATAGTTTTAGAATCATGTGTGTGTATGTTATTCTACTATGTCCAGCATTGTACTATGTGGTTACCTGCTTATCTGGAATATCAGTATGAATGCTAGTGGGGGGAGTATGTTTGTTTAAGTTGGAATGTTATTGATTGATATGCATATGGTCTCAATTTCATTTTGGGTTGTATAATTATTCAAAAAACTTTCAAAATACATAAAATTAAAGCATACCAAAATAAGTGACATGATCTATACTTATTTGCTTCACATAGTAATGTTAGCATTATTAATAACCGGAACACAAACATATATTGTTTATAATACTCATATCATGGCTTAGTAGAGACCAATATTTTGATCGGGTGAGCAGGGGTGCTCAATTCATGACCTTCCCCCCTCTTACCGAAGGTTTTGAACCGAGTTATTTTTGGTTATAACGAACAGTGGCCTTTGACACGAGTCACAGGTTTTCTAATTTCCCCAAAAGATTAGGTGGCGACTTTGAAATCTAGTGATATAGTTCATTTCTAACAAATGTTTTGTAATAAAATGGATTTTTTATAAAAGTTGCCGAATCTGGACTCTCATTTTCTATTTCACATTTTACTAGTGATATAAGATCAAAAATCAGGGAGTTTGAACTGTTGGGTGCTCTTGGTAACCCCAAAAGACATCCTACACCAGCCAAAAGATGTTTGGCCTTCTCTTTTATGGCTAGCCAGGCATGCAAGTTGTACGATTGGAGTAAACACTACAACAAAAATGACTTTTTACGGCATCACATCAACGGCATACAATAAATGCATGCCGTAGTTTCTTACTTTTATGACTTACTTTTTTTGCACGTCGTAAATACTTTTCCAACCATGACATGTCTATTGCGTAGGCCGTGAATGGTAATAACAATGATTTTTTTACGGCTTACAATGCACACCGTAAATAATAAAACTTTCTATGATGTGCATATGGCGTGCCATTAATACATTAATTAAATTATGCACGACGCACATATGCTAGCCGTGAAAAGTGAATACTTTTTACAGTGCACACAACACCCACCGTTAAAAGTATTATATTTTTTATGACACACATTGTCTACTGTTAAAAGTATTACCTTTCACGACGTACAATGCATGTCATGAATCATATGATAAAAAACAAAGGCGCCAAAATAAAATTTAGGGCGCCAAATATTTTTTTCCCAAAATAAGTATTTTGCCTTCATCACAAGGGTTTCAATCTCTCTCTCTATCTGAAATGAAACATAGCAAGGTTTCAAATCTCTCTCTCTCTCTCTCTCTCTCTCTCTCTCTCTCTCACATGATGAAGGCTGAATCAAACCCTTGTTCAACACAGCAAGATCGTAGAACTGATTTGGGTATTCTTTTTTCAATGTGGTGAAAATTGATTTGTTAGTTTTGATTTGGGTGAATGGTGAAGAGAGGGAACCCTAAAACCCCTCATTCCTTAATTACAAGATTCAAATCATCTTCTCTCTCATTTTCCTCTACATGCGTCTCTCTCTTTCTCTATAAGTGCTCCTTGTATCAGCCACTTTGTGCACTGAATCTGTTCGATGAAATTCCTCTCTGAAAATTCTTTACTATCTATCTAGTTTCAGAGCTTTTTAAAGATGTATGTTGTGAAGAGAGATGGGCGTCAAGAGACTCTGCATTTCGACAAGATCATTGCTCGTCTCACTACCACAGAACCCTATGCCTTGCCCTATGCCTGGGAGCCATCCTTCACAATAAAAAATTGCCTAGAGGATTTAAGAGACCAATTTTTCCCTCTTGAAAAGCTACAGGTTTTGCAAGAACCATTCAGGCTGCATTGGCCAAAATCTGCAATAAAGCTAAAATATAAGGCTCTTTTATTAGGAAAACCAGTTGGCAATCATACAAGAAATTGTAAATTCTGAAAGAAGCCCACATAATCTGACTAGAGTTGGCCAACATGATATGATACTTCCCAGTGGGTTTGTTGAAACTTATGATTTGTGTCCGTAGGCTTAGGCTGCCTTGTTAAGATTTGTAAAAGAGATTCTATATTTGAATTTTCATGTTTGTTACATGATCTGGTAATGATCTAAAAAGCAAATGGATTCAGATAAATTGAGTAAATATAAGGAACAAATTGACAGTAGACAAAAACGGTTCCAATAAGACATGATTTATTGAGTGATTATGCAATCAGTCTCCTCAATAAAGAGTAAACAAATCTGTAAGATGTTCATTAAGGTAATACCAATTGATGTATCTTATGGTTTGTATAAATTTTTAAATCCTGAAATTAGACAAAAAAAAATTAATTATGTTGGTGGTATGGCCATTGTAACTGCAGTTTTCTATTGTGTTGGAGCTCTTGCAATAACCGGTTCTCTACATCATATTGACAAGGACCTCCTTGGGTGGTGGTTATGTGAGCGACAGGTTAAATCTGGAGGTCTAAATGGGCGTCCTGAGAAGCTTCCAAATGTAGGTTATTCTTCTTTGAACTAAAGATTTTTTTTGAATATTTTTGTAAGTTTTATTACTAAAGCTTCCACTATGTGACTGTAGGTATGCTATTCATGGTGGGTCCTTTACCTCTTGGAATCATTGGGGGAGCACTAGCTGGTCACAGAGTTGTAACTTTGGTAACTTGTATACTTTAAGAAAAATTTAAACTTGTCTTTGCATCAGCAGCACTGCAAGTTCCTTTCATAAATGAAAAATCAACTTGCTGAATTTTTTGGCTAAGAAGCAAAAATAATTTAGTTTTGAAACATGCTTTTGGGTCAAGAAGATAAAAGAATGATTTGGCAACATGTGCAAATTAGAAGTTTTTCAGCTAAAGAAATAAAATACATGTTTTTCTCTTAATTTTAAAATTTTGGTGACTTTAGTGACCTGTGATAAGGCTATGTTGGGGTTTTATTGCAGTTGTGTAAATTGCTAGTAACATTCTACATCTTGGACCTGGTTCAACTATGAATTGAATTGATACCAAACTGAGTAAAACCCTTGTTTCTCAATTGTATTCCTTTTATCACTAGCAATCTGTCTCTTTTCTTGCTCTTGGACAACATGCTAGGACAATTCATTTCCATTGAATTTGGTGAAATTAATTGATTCTAAAGTTAATTTCATTTTTTGTATGTAAGGGATACTGTATATTAGTCATATGCTTTTGGACTCATTTATTGCTGGGCATATTATGCTTTACAACCTCATAATTTTCTTTAAAATTCAATACAAGATAACAACAGGGTTTTTCTTAGAAAACACTATAGTTTTATCCAAAGGTGAGATGCTCTTGGATGGTATATTCAGGTTAGTGTTTATTTTTTTCCCCTTTGCACTTGTTTTCTTTGTGCGTACTCACATTTGATTTTGAAATTTGAAACTAGCATTGCTTGACTTTTTTTTTCTTGTCTTTTCTTTTTTTTCTCCCTTGAGGATGAATGTAAGGGCTTGTTTATACCTGTATTCAGTTTTTCATGCTTCATGCACCTAAACTTAAGAAAAATCTCATTAGACCAATACAATTTTGAGTATTTATAAAAACAAATTAGCATTTTTGGCAAAAACAAGGATTATCAGAAAAATCTTGACATTTAACCATTGAATTCCAGAAACATAATAATGTTCCATTTCCTGTACATACTATGTAGGTGAAAATATGTGGATTTCCTCCTTTAGAAGACAGAGACAAGTCATTGATTTTTGTAGAATTTATTTCTATTAAATGCTTAATTATCAAATTAAGCTCATTGTTGGTTCCTGTACCAAAAAAGTAAAGGGAAAAGAAAAGAAAAAAAAATAGAAGCTCATTTTTAAATACTCTGGCCATGTGTATTATTTGATTTCTTTATGGTTGGATCCTACAGATTTCTGGGAGTAGCAATTAACCCTCACTTTGTTTCTATGCCATTTTCTCTAATAAAAATCCTCATGGAGTGAAACCAGTGCCAAATGTTAGATATATGAGATACATTTCTAGGTACACAAGAATCACTGAAAAATGTTAATTATTGAGAGAGTTATGGTCATTTTTCCAAAACGCGACAAGAACAGACCAGTACTTCTTGAACCTGTATTTTCACCCCCTTGATGTGATTTTTAGACTTTTCATCCCCCTAATAAAATATCACTAACTCAAATACCTTTCCAATGGTTTTGGTGTCACTTAGTTTGGACATCGTTTGATGCCTCTGTTCATTTTTCTAACTCAACCTACTTGTGCTGGAGTCTGCTGAACTCACTGCTTGAATATACCAGTTTTTTTCCAAAAATGAGTTCTCCATCATAAGGTGGTTTTTAGCTCTAGAGTTCTTCTTGAAATATCTTCTAACTTATTGAACTATCTCCAGTAAAAATATCGTGAACATTTGACTTCATTTGGTATGAGCTCGTATTTTTCTTTAGAACCGTTCACTGTTGAGAATATGGACAGAACATAGTAAATGGCCTATAGATAAATCTCTGGTTCTGTTATGCAACTTATAAATGAAAATTTGAAATGAAAGTGGACTTTCGTTATATGCATCATTTCAGCTGTAATAGCACTACTGCGCACCACAACCATAAAGTGCACAAGGAGTGCTTTATAAGCATTTCTTCTATCTGCATACTAACGTCTTTTTCCTGCAGTAAAACCAGAACTATCACTAAAATTGTCTCCTCTGTTGGGATTTTTTGCAGACTATCCAACAACTAGAAGCAAAAAATCCACATCCACTTGCACAGATGACAAACAATGATTCCGTTGAATTTTTGATTGCCATGGACATCTTCTGGATCCTGATTGTGGACTTTGTCTCCGAAGGGCGTTATCTCTTCCTCAATGCAATCGCAAATCAGATACGCAACCCAAACAACCATACACATTTCTTCTCCTATGTTCTTCTCTACTTGTTTGTGAATGCTGACAAGGTTAGTTTCTCTCTCTCTCTCTCTCTCTCTTTGTTGAACATAAATTACAATTTAGATTCATAGGATTTGTTTGCCTACAAGTATAACCAGAAAATTTGAATTCCCCTAAAATGTTGTGGTTGAAATTGAGAGAATGAATAGTAGTAACTTCTTGATCATTGAGAATTACACTAGTTAAGTCTAGGATTTTTACACTAGTTATGCGAAATGTGATTTGCTCACAGCTTCGCATTCCTTGTTGGATAGGAAATTATACAGGAGCAAATAACAAGAGTTTTGTTGGAAGGAGTGATTGTGAATAGACCACATCTTTGGAGGCTTTTGATCACCTTCATTGAGCTCATCGAGGTAACTTCAAACCACCACCAAAGTGTTGTTTGGCTAGTCATATGTTCTCTTAAAATCTTTTTTTTTTTTTTGGTCATGCAGAATCCAAAATACAACTTCTTGTGTAGGTCTTTCACTAGGTGTGCACCGTAGATTGAGAAACTTTTTGAATTAGTTTCGAGATCGTGTGGTGGGTCTAAATCTGTAGATGAATCAATGGTATCTGGTGGAATTCCTGATAGTGTGCACTGATTCTGGAAGATTGGATCTCTGTATTTGATGTCGGTGTAATGTAAGTTTTAGCGATTTTCTTGTCGTAACAAACTACAGCTTTGTTAGATGACTGCCAGACTAACACCGATTCACACAATTTGAATAGAATATTTGATTGTGGTTATTATGCAAAGCTGGCTCACTATTCCAAATCTTTTTACCTAATAAAAATAATCAAATACTTCCTAAAACCAGATTATAAGCTATCTATCCTTCTCAAATCTTTTTACCTATAAAAATAATCAAATACTTTCTGAAATGATGCATACAATGGAAGTCCACTTTCATCGAATTGCTTACAGACTAGCAATACAATTCTTTTGATGCCTCAAGTAATTAAGCTAGAATTGAGAACCCCAATGTCAATTGTTTTGACTCAATTTCAGCCTCATTTCCTTTATCCAATTGGTGTGTTAATAATTTCAAGTGTTCCCTGGAGGTTTGCCAAAATGAGAAACTCACATTTATGGGACCATGTATGAGATGCTATGTATAGTGAATTTGTATAAGGGTATGCAGGGCATTTCATTATCTATATGTCAATTTCTAACTTTCTCTTCAAAAGGCATCCTTGTTTTGTAATTTCCAGTATTTGTTATGCAGCAGCAATACTAAATGTTTATTATGTAGGCAGCTGTAGGGCTTCAAGATCTTTTGGATGGAACAGTGACCAAATATCTTTGTTTTCTTTTCTGATTCTGTGCTTTGTCTTAGGTTTGTAACTGGGTGCTCCCGAGGCCCTTTGCTTGGATTTAAATACCTTGAGCCTTTGTCCTACATACGGAGGTGATGGTCCTTTTTTGAGTATTCTCTTACGGCAGCTGGTAATGCTTCTGAAGAGGCTCTTGAAGCTGCTAACAATTTTTTAGTACAAAGATATGGAGGACACAAACCTGAGTGTTGATGCAATTAAATCAGCCAATGATGGTGCACTCACAAGAAGATATTTGGCTAAATTTTGTATGGTTTAGAACTTAATGATAGTGTTTTTTGGATAATTTAGAACATTTTGGATTGTATAGACATTTGTTGAATGTTCATAATTTATGGATATAGTTTTTTTTTGATATTTCAAATAATATTTTGGTGGTTGATTGATGTTTTGTGATGCTTGTTTGTAATATTTGTTAGATTGTACAAAATTAGTCAAATAGAACCTGCTGAATTTTAAAATTAAAAAAAAAAAAAAAAACTACATATTCTACGACCGGCATAATAAGTCGTATTACATATTTACGGCGTGCAATTAGTGTCGTTATTTGTTTCACCAATTAACGGCGTGCAAAATTAGTCATAGAAAAAGTAACAACGACGCACAAAATCTGTCGTTAAATAGTTTTTAACGGCATGGTATAGCATGTCGTAGAAAAAGTAACGACACAAAATCTGCCGTTAAATGGTTTTAACGACGTTCAAAGCATATCGTTAAAAGTAAATGACTTTCCATGACTGGTCATAATATGACGCGCGTTGCACGTCGTAGAAGGGTTTTCACGACATGCATTGCGCGCCGTAAAAACCCTTTTTTGTTGTTGTGAAATTTTTTACAATTGAAGCAAATTACTAGAAAAACAAGGTTTTTCGAGAAGATTCTCTTCCTTTCCATTCATTTCCACTTTGTCTTTGCTCGGTTTAACGAAAATCACAACGTTTTAATTAAAAACATCATGGAACTGATTAGATTTATGCATGACAAAAATTAATTTTTTTAAATTGTTTTTGAAAGGTTTAAAAACATTTGGCCCAAATGGATGAAAGGTTGGGATCTGCTTTAGAAATTGAGTACTAGAGAAATCAAAGGTAACACGTATTTCGGATTTTCATCATTGGGTGTTTAGAAAAGGGAGTCCAAGTTTTAGGGCCGGTCAAAATGGGGTGTCTACAGTTGCCCTTCTTTGATAGAGTTTAGTATGTCATTTCATGACGTGAGTGAATGTCAAAACCTAAAGACAACCCTTTTAATAAGGCCATAGGACTTGGGCAAACAAATAAGATGCAAATGCAGTTGGTTGGACTCGAGGGTTGCCTACGCATCACTTTGCAAGGAATCAAACCAACGTAGTTCAAGGCATGATACAAATTATATGATTGAAACACATTAGATAGTCAAATTTACACGCTTCGTGAAGCCTGTTATTCGAAAGTTAGGCTTACATGTACCACATTACCTAAAAGCTTTTGAAAACAATTTGAAAGTTGATTTTTATGCAATGCCATGCAACGGAATGATGATGCGAAGATGATAACATGCGAGGCATGCCTTTTGCAAATGGTATGAAGTATGCTAGAAGATGCGGGCATGGAGAATACAACCTTTCTGTATTTCCACATATCAAGGAAGTAAGCAAATACCAAACAAAATGATCAAGAATGTGCATCGTATACAAATGTGATCCACACGAATGAAAAAGAAGGGGTGCATCGTATACAAACGTGATCCACATGAATGAAAGAAAAGGGGTGCATTGCATACAAATGTGTTTAACATGAATGAAAAAGGGTGTGCATCGCATACAAATGTGTTTTACACGAATGAAAAAGAAAGGTGTATCGCATATAAATGTGTTTCACATGAATGAAAAAGAAAGGTGCATCGCATACAAACTTGTTTCACATGAATGGAAAAAGAAGGGGAACCATCAGTGTTTTCTACAATTCAACATGGTTGGCGGAAACATACTCCAAAAACTTGTATGCGATCGACAATCACAACAACATGGAACTCCAATTCTCACCTACCAGCTAACAAAGGCGAACCCAAGGGTGTAGGGTAAACACATTTCATGTGAGTGGCGAAGAGGTTGCTCAAATGTGCTACCACATAAGTGATATAGGGAGGAGTATGTAACCTGAACAGTGTATGCGACCAGCAATCATAGCAATAGGGAACTCTAATCTTGACCTGCCAGTCAACAAAGGCGAGCCTTGGGGTGCAATCCGAACATATTTCATGTGCATAGAAGAAAAGGTTGTAGCCAACAAGCCTAAAAGTATTTCATACGAAAAGGGTGAATGCAGGCCTAGACGTATTTCATGTGAAAAGAGTGAATGCAACAAGAGAAAGTGTGGTATGAAATGCGATAGATGCAACAAACAATGCAATGGATGCACAAAAATGATGTGATAGATACACCTCTCAAGTTTGGAATTCAGTATATGGGGCCGCTTGGCTTTTGGAAACAATGCTTTTTCAAACATCTCAGGATACAGATAGCTCTTCGAGGATTTAGAGTATTGACGTAAGGGTCCATCTCATTCTTATTGAAGCGACGTTCTTTGAACGTCTCACAAGTTTGGGAAGCAATGTTCTTCGCACATCTCAAGAAGTGATACTCTAGAGAGCACCTCACAAATTTGAAAATAGGCATGCAAGCTATGTCTTCGGAAAGCAATATTCTTTGAATATCTGAAGAAGAGATACTTTGAAAAGCATCTCATGGTTATGGGAATAGTGCACAGGGCAGCCTTATTTTGTGAAAAGGCAATGTTCTTACAAACATCAAATTTTCAAATTGTTTTGGAACTTGGTGTATGGAGCTACCTCGTTCTGGAAAGCAATATTTCAAAAAATATCTCAGGAAATGGTGCTTATAGTGAAGCAACTCAAAGTTTTGTTCGAATTCGGCGTATAGGGCCATTTCATTTCGAGAAGCGATGTTTTATGAAAACATCTCGGGAAGCAATGCTTATGGGGAAGCACCTCAATGGGAGGAAACAAACCGATTTCCAAACTCTATTTTGATAGATGTTGAGTCTAAAATTGAAGCAAACCATGTACTGGAGGATAGTGAGACCAGTGGCAAAGATGTTCTTGCGCTTCTAAAGTTGAATTTGATTTGAATGTACATCTTTCCCACTGGTCAGACAACTTTTTGAATTACCCGTACAAATTCTGGCTTCAACCATACAAAAAGAGTTTTCATACAAATCATGCATGCAGACGTACACAATTTACTTGGCCTAATATAATATGGTCAGCCATCTATTGGTGCTCTCAGGCACTTTTTGATCCTTTGCCATGTATGAGAATGGTTTCTTCTCTTTTCCTAGATCTCCTATAGGATTTGATGAGCCAAATACCCCTAAGAAGAGTATACTATGTCTAATGATGAGACTCATAACACTCTGTTTCTTGCTCTCTTCCATCATATGCCTTTCGATATTACCTTTGCCATTATTCACGGTAGAGGTCATAGTGGAGTTCATAGACATAGTTGGGATGGAAGACGTGGGCAAGGGTATGCTTAAAGTAATGGACATAGCTATGGGCATGGTCTAAGACAAGGGCCTAGTCAGGGTCGTGGTCATAGACATGGGCGAGGACAAGGTCCTATGGATCCAAACTTTCAAAATGTTCGTGACGAGACTCTTCTTTGATACTTCAAAACTGTATCTGATTTCCAAGATACCTACATCTTTTGTTTTCTAACTGATGTCTTGTACTAGTAGGATGTGGTGATTCTCTAGGCTCCTACTCTTGAGGTGATCATTGTCAGCAACAATGATGACGACGACGACAAGGGTCTTGAGCTCATCAATGGTACTAATGGTGGTGCTGATGATAGTAATGATGATGGACCCGATTGTTACCTATACCATTCGTTGTTTGTAGCTATTGCTTAGTTTGATATTCTGACGGGGATCTTCCTTTTTACTACACCTTCTTTTTGTTTTTCTTAGGAAAAAGAAAGTAACAAAGAAATCTTGTTTAGCTTCCAAGTTGTTTTGAAAAACAGTTTGTAAAAAAAACAAGAAAACAAAAACTTGATCAAAGCATGACCTACCAATATGAAAAGGAAGAATGTTATTTTGCACATGATTACATTGGATGGCACAACACTTCAGCACAAAAACACTTTTATTTGAAATGAAAATTGAAAAAGGTTGCATCACGTGTAGTTCTGAGACAGCCTATGAGCCTACAACCGACCAAAATGCAAAATACAACTTGATAAAAGAAAGATACAGCAAAAACAACCTGACGATACCTAAAAACACTAGCTAGAAAGAAAAAGGATTGAAGATGACTCAAAAAAAGACCAAAAGACACCTATTGAGCCTCTATTGCTGCTACTGCACTGATCATTTTGTTGGGCTGGACAAATTTTTGGCCAACTGGCCAAAACATCTGTACGGTTGGATTCAAAATGGTCGATTAGTGGCTGGTACAACTTGAGACAGCTGTCATGCACTTTCTAGTCTTAAACCAGAAGAGTGTTTTTCGTCATTTTTCTTCCAACAATGGAGACACCTCTTGCTTCTAGTCTTGAAGACTAGATGGCTACCTTAGTTGGGATGGATAAAGTCAATTTCTCCAGCTTTAGGTTGAATGCCCTTTTCTATTTAAGCCACACCCCTCTATGCTTTCTTTTCTTTCATGCCACAGTCCATTGTTGGGACCCGATTACTTATGTATTCCACTTCAGGATGCAAGAGTTATGTCCGACCATTGAGGAGTTCTGGGCTTTGATGGGATTTTCTGGGGTTAAGGTGATTCTTTCCTAACCTTTCTTTGGTCATGCACAGGCTCTAGCTCGGATGTGTGGCCTTACTCTGAGTGAGGCTCGTGCCTTAGCTCATGATGGGGAGTTGGACATTCTTGGTTTAATTCGTCAATTCTCGAGCATTGGAGATAGAGATGATTTCACTTGGCAGAGGCATTGCCAGGACGCCCTTTGCTTGTGCCTTCTTGCACACTACTTGCTTGCATCTGGCAATGGTAGAGCTAGCATCAAATTGTTTAAGATAGCTTAGCACATTAGAGAGGGTTAGAACTGCAATGGTTTAGTGTTAGCCAAGACCTTGTTGGGCTTGGATGCGCTTTGTCAGGACGAGACCACCCGATTTGCGGGGAGCGCACTACTCCTTCAGGTACTATTTCCCATCCCTTTCTCACTTTATGATTCTCACATCACTTCGACACTCAACATTGTATTTTCTCTAAATAACCCATTTTCTTACTTTTTCCTCTTAACGCACATCTCTTTATTCTTTAATCTCTCTTTTCTTTTATCCCTCCCCAAATATGGTTGATGGATGTGCTGAAGGTAGTAGGTCCTTGACGTCG